AAGACACATCACCACTTGAAAGCAGGGATTCATGTGGAAGCGGCATTAATGACCTCTTTTATGTTTAATGTACCTGAGCACCCACAAGCATGTTTGTGTCCCGTGCCACATGCATGCAGACCATTCCAACAACATGCCATGGAGGTGTAAAGAAGACTCAGACAAAAGCCAAATGAGACATCAGTGTGACAGGTTTACTCAAACAGCGTGTGGCAAAAAGAACACCATTCAGAATAGGAACCGGAGGCCGCCCCCTTGTGGTCAGGTGTTACCTACCCATGACTTTGTGTTGAGACGAAGTCTTTTAATCTACTCAAACAACAGTCAGTAAAAGTGTTTCTGGAACGTTCTGCTAACTGTTATGTAAAAACCTTTTTTTTAAACCAGCAGGGACCATTAACCAAGCATGCCTATGCAGTCTCAGTTGTGCAGGATGTTTATGCCAGAGCATTTCTACGCCATTTAAGGACGATCTTTTCACTAATACTCACCATACGAAGCAGGGATTGATTTAGTGTTTGTTATTTAAGCCGCATTACACTGTGGACTCGTACGCGTGAGTCATCACCCCAAGCTGTGGTGCCGAAAGCCCGTGACTGTCATTCCAGCAAGAGACAAACACGGAGGATATTTAGCAACACAACCAGGACCAAGTAGAGAGTAGAAGGTCAAACCACTGTCCCAACACTGTCACTCCCGTAGGCTGACAACCCACAACACAGAAATTGTGACAAAACATGTGAAACAAGACACACCTCAGCAACAGCCTGAGCCAGACCTGCGTTCTATTATTTAACAGATGCTTTTATCCAAAGTGATACACAAGTGAGAAAGCATGGCCAGACAGTCCCTGGAGCTATTGGGCATTAAGGGTGTCACTCAGAGTCTGAATGGTGAAATCACACAGCCAATTAGGGGATTTGACCTGGCGACCTTCTGACCACAGACGGAATCCTAACACTATGAGCCACATACTGCTCTGTTTTGCCTGCCATGCACCACAGCTCGCCCTTCCCACAATTTAGCAACATAAACACGACCATAAAGCACATACACTGACATGGCTACAGCCTGAAAGTCAAACCAGTGCTACACTTGGCATTTCTGTTTTTACATCAGGTATGGATTTATGTACAGCGACTTAAAAATATTATGTGAAACTGAGCTAAGTTCTGACAAGGGACAATATATCTCTTTCCCAAATAAACATTAAGTAAGGTCCTTCACTGGAATGAAAATCTGTTCCACTCGCTACTGCCATCCAATGGAAACCTGAGGAAGAACCAATCTGTGTTTTACAAAATAAACATTTCAGATATTACCACAACAAATGTGAAATATTGACAGTAGACGTCAACTGACATTTCAACCACCCAATCACTTCCCACTACATTACCGGGACCTGCATGCTTCTGTCCATCATGTGACCTCCGGGGGGCCAATGAGACGTGGTCACACTCCAACAATTGCAGGCTTGCCACTATTTCACAGGTGTCCTCCGGGACTCCAGCAGCCAATGCCAGTGGGCCGTCCTATAGAGAACTGACCAATCACAATGCAGCTTTGCACACCATGCTTGTAGAGTGGGTGAGATGGAAAGACAGAGTTGAAGAAGAGTTATGAGTATAAGGTGGGGGGTGTCCAGGTTTGGTAGTTAGGTGACCAATATTGGCCGGTTAATTAATTATGTCCCTCATCCCTGGTGGTAGATTGATGTGTTTTGTTTTTTCCAGCTCCTGCTAACCTGGGTGACAGGGTAACACCTGATCAAGACCCAACACCTCACTGCCCCTGATCTCCTTATCACTTCTTTTTTGTGGCTTTTTTTTTTTTTTAAATGCTGCCTGCTTTTTTAAAAGAAAATAAATAAATAAGAGAGGTCGTGTGGATTTGATCCGAGCACACCAATGCCCCGAGGCTGCTCAGAATGGGCATCCCAGATCGAGCTTTTCACATACGTCACTCGAAATGACTTGCAGAGGCCCAGAAAAGCCTGGGTGTGGCTTGGAACCATGTATCATGTTTCCAGGCAGGATCGTCTGCAAGCAGTTAGTTATGAAATATGCATACAGGCAACATTAGCAATTATCCTTAAGACAGTCACTTCCTCATCCCTCCCTGGGGGACTTTACTCACACGGCTAGCCCAGGTTAAGCAGAGACGGGCTGTCACATCTGACCATGTTCGACGTAGTGTAAACATTCACGGATCAGATGGACGAGGGGGGACAAATGGCCTCTTGTTTTCCGTAATGGTAACCGCTCTGCTGAACATCAGCTCGATAGTGTCCAGCTGGATGGCGGCTTGGCCGCGTGTCAGGCGGGGGGGGGGCGGACTAGGACTCTTCTTGACATTACGGCCAGGGGGGGGGGCTTGAAGGTTGAAGGAGCGTAATAAGCTTGAAGATCTTTCACGGAAAATTTAAGAGTCTAATCGATCGTCGGCCTCTCCGAATTAGGAGTTCGAGTAAAAAATAACTATAAGTGCAATTTAAGTCATGAAAGGAAAAGAATTTTGGGATGCCAACCAGCGTGGCGTGTGACGTGCAGACGCTACCGAGGAGCCAATAAACAGCTAGTGAGCAGAGTCAGGTGATGGTAGGCAGCTGGTTAGCAGAACATGTTGCTTCAGCATCTCCTAAGTAAGGAACGTGCTTATTTAATATTTAGTGTAGTGTCTGATTGTGGTCAACAGGAGGCCTTGGTGGACCCATGCTATAGCATGGTTTGACTGGTGGGAAACACCACCGGTGACTATGGTCGCATGAGGATCCAGCTCTGAAACAGGCCAGGCACCTGTTTAAAATAGATTTCTAACTTAGCAGGATAACTTGTCAGATGTAAGGTACCCCAATTTAAACAGACTTTATTTACTTACATTTACCTTAAATCCAATGAGTTATCTGGCTAAGCAAGAAATCCAGCTTCATAATACAGTCCCCACATCCTCCATCCACTCAGAGGGACATTTATTCTTATGCTTTAGCTGAATGCTTTCAGATGTTTACCTAACTGAAGGCTTTCATAGCCATCCCTGAACCTGAGCTCTGTCTACAGGCTCTCATCTGGAGATCCCACATCCCTGTGCCACAGACTTTGAAGAGAACTCGTCATATGGGTGGGAAACAAATTCTACACTTATCATGCTACTTACAGGCTGAGCCCATAACTGCATCTACAGGACGGATCCAAAGTTTGGCATTTTAGGATGGAAACGCTGCTCCTCACCAGCGCAGCATCAGCCAGCCGGTCTGCAGGAGGCCAGGGCCCCCAGCGCCATATCCAGCAGCGAGGATGTCAACGTCAGCCTCTTCCTTGCACCAGGGGAGGCCTCGGCAGTGACTGGCAGCACCGCAAATCGACTAAATGTGGCTGGCATTCAAATCAAATCAATGGGGGCCAGATGCCGAGAAAGGGAGTCAATGCGATTAAGAAGGAGTCAGCGGGGAGGGGGGCCACGCTGTCCGGGTGCAGATTCGCTACGACGGCTTAAGCTGTTATGAAAACACAGGCCTCCCCCCACGGTATGGAGACATACTCTTACGGGCCAGTGAGCAAACTCCACACTGCCCCCGCTGTCCCCCCCAAGCCCAGCCACACCCCCAAGGAGGGCAGGTGCAGCATCTCGAGTGTGGAGGGCAAGCTGGTGGGGTGGTGGCTGATCTGTGGAACTTGGAAGCTGAAGGATTCAGGGTGACCTTCTGGCACAATAGCTCCATCAGGTTCCATCTCCAGCCAGACATTGCAGTTGCCTTGTGGGGACAGCAGAGGGCGCTCCGCTCAGCGTGAGTCCTGGCACATGTCAGTTTGTGGGATGTCCAGCGACTGCTCTGGCTCCAGCACCTTCTGGATCTCAGTTCCTGCCACATTTCTAGATTCTTCCGTGCAATCAGGCGTCTCCCGAGTGTCACGTCTGGTCTTACCTTGCTTGACTTCATGTAATTGTTATGTTTCATCTGGGTGCTGAACTACAATGAGTTCAGAGCCTGAACAAACCCACACAGTAGGTTCTGATGTCCAGGTGTAGGGCGGTGTGGGCCTGGTTCCGGTGGCCAGCAGCAGCGAGGGGGGCCGGGTCACGGGCCGGGATGACACACTGACCCAGAGCAGCAGCTTCTCCGCTTTCACCGGGCCTCCACGCCGCTGCTGTCCCCTCCAGCTGGTGGGAGCTGTCATCTGGGGGAGGGCCGTGACGTTTCTGGAGCTGAGGGCCAAGAGCCTAATAAACATCACGTCCAGCTGTGAAGAGCCAGGATTCTAAAGCTGCACACCTAGAGAAAACATATGGCGTTGACGATGAGCCCCCCCACCCTCCAAACACACGCACACACACAGGTTTGTAATTATATCTTTGTGGGGACATTAATTTCTGTGGAGAAATCCCAGCATGATGACCTTAACTCCTACCCAGCCCTAACC